AACGTTTTTTCTGTTGTTTTGTTCGCTGACGAAGGCTTTCTGCCGACACGTTCGCTGTTTTGTTGCGTTTAATTTTTCAGGTTTAACCATACTCTGTTTTACTCATTTTATTTTGTACTAACCTGATTGCAGTCTCTCCCCTTATTACCCCTAAGAATTTCATCCAGGAAACCGGGCGAAAACCTAATATGGCATATGCGCCGGGAAACAAAATTATAAGAACCACTGGCGTAGCCCAACGAAATAGGTGTCACACGTGCGCTGTACACTCATGACTAAACACAACTGTAACTTCTCTCCCAATGCTAGCGAGTTTATTGGTGAAAATACATCTTGAGTTAAGAGATGAATATTGTAGACTTTTTAAATGACGTACGTTCTTTCAAACGAGGAACAGCCTGCCCACCCCCCCCCCACAAACCTAAAAAAAACCTGTCATTACGGAAATGTCGCGGTGTTGATTGTATGGATTTAAGTCTTAAGACCCAAGCCAAACCCAAAATTTCGTAAATCAACACCACTCCTTTTGTCACTGATAGATTGCTAATGAAAAGTCCGACTTGCAGATTCTGTAATTGTGCAGTGCGCGCATGATGGACCATTCGACAAAGAACGCAACTCAGTAAATTTTGTCTGATATTCAAGCAAAACTATCTGCTGATAAACTTTCTTTTTCTTTTGTTGAATCGGATGTTTATCGGTAGAGAGAGAAGTTTCTTCTTCACCATCTCGCGAGCTTTTCTTTTTGTCGAGGTCATAATCGTAAAATACTAAGTGAGGTAAACTACGGAACCGAAAACAAGAATGATGTCCGATTCCATTAATGATAATGGTAACATTAAAATCACGCAATGTGCACATACGTCAATGCAGCCAAATTCTAGCGCCAGAGCTGTTTGGACAGCTCATATATAACATTTGAAATAAAAATGAAAAAGTTAACAATGATTCATACCTCGCCCCCCTAGCCTCACGCCCTGCCAACTTAAAGGGCCATCCAAATATGACTTACTCACTGAGGATGCGTATGAGTTTTGATTGGGTTGGGGGAGGGGGGGGGGGCACCAGAATGCACCTACATGTATGCATAAATTCTATAATAATTATCCTGATTCCTGACAGTCTCTTATAGAGCCAACTGTCACATGAAATCCAAGAATTCTAATTAGGTCTATTATTATTATTATTATTATTAAGGCTATACAAATATCACCACAATGCTTCGCATTTATCGTTTACCGTATACTAGTGCTTTGTGTTTTCATAAAGAGGTCTCTGTAGTAGTCATATTGAACACGACATAGTGACAACACACTGTAGTCTACTAACACGTATTTCCGTGCTGGTGACGAACCCACCTTCCCCCACCCTCATTAATAGGAAAAACATAGTGCCCTCGCCTATCCAATATGCCCCTGAGTTTTTACGTTCACATCCTATAGAGCAGTGGTCAGCAAACTCATTGGTCAAAAGAGCCAAAATCAGCAGCAGGACCATTAAACAAATTTTGCGAGCCAAATTTATTTTCAAGAACCTGTCAAGGACCATGTTTTTCGGAGTAAAAACCGATTTGTAGTTGA